TAAAGGATCAAGTAAGTTAATCGATTGATGTTATTTCGAATAGTATTCATGAGACAATTTCAATTATATACAACTATATATTTTATTCTATTTCAATCATTTGATAGGGTAAGATTAGTATGAAATAGAATTTAAATGATTCTTTCAAGGGACAAAATTTGAATATTGATAAAGTTTTTGAGAAATCATTTGTGAAAAAGTCATAAAGTTTTGATTTTATTTAGGGATAATTGAACTATCGAGTGATGAAAAAAATAGACGATCGTTTGAAAAGGAACATCGTGCAATGCTTGAAGAAATTGAAAACAAACGTCAAAAGGCACTGGAAGACATGCAAAGAAAGGAAGAAGTTCAAAAAAAAGAACACCACGCAAGGCTTGCAGAATTACAGAATGAAACACAAATGTCAATGGAAGAAATGCAAAGAAAAAAAGAAGCTCAAGACAATGAACGTCGCGCATGGTTTGTAGAAATTGAAAATCAAAATCAAAATCAAAAGGCAATGGAAGAAATGCAAAGAAAGAAAGAAGCTCAAGATAATGAACATCGCACAAGGCTTGAAGAAATTGAAAACAAAAATCAAAAGGCAATGGATGAAATTCAAAGAAAGAAAGAAGCTCAAGATAATGAACATCGCACAAGGCTTGAAGAAATTGAAAACAAAAATCAAAAGGTCCTGGAAGAAATGCAAAGAAAGGAAGAAGCTCAGAAAAAAGAACACCACGCAAGACTTACAGAATTACAGATTGAAAATGAAAAGTTAATGGAACAAATTCAAAGAAAGGAAGAAGCTCAAAAAGAAAAAGATCTTGAAACAGCTGCTCGATATAATGAATTATATAAACGAATGGAACAATATCAGGAAGCACATAAAACACAAATGGAGCAAATGACGAAATTATTGGAAGATCTCAAGAAGAAGAAATTAACATCTTTCGAAGATATTGCAGAGAATGATAAAGAAGCAAAAGAAGCAATTATCAAATTAGCAAAAGAAGCTAAACCATTTGAAATGGAAGGTAATAATATTGCTCTTTTTGGTAGAACATCTTGTGGAAAATCAACAATGCTTAATAAACTCCATGGAAAGGAAGTAGCTGAAACAGGCAAAGGTGAAACTACTCTTAAAATACAATCTTATCAAGCGACTGATTTCGTTCTTTGGGATATTCCTGGTAAAAATGATGAAGTATCGTATTTGAGTTTGCAATATATATCATTTTTCAAAGGATTAACACATCGCATTATTCTTGTTACAGATACACTTAAAGAAAACTCAAGTATGATGAAATTATTAGATGCAATTGGACTAAATTATGATATTGTTGTTAATAAAATGGATGAATGTGATGATGAAGAACAACCAAAATTTCGTGAAAAAATTAAGGAAGAAGTACAAACACTTGAATTAAAAGGTGTAGATCGTATTTTTTATGTTAGTGCCAAATTTCCAGCACAATTTCCTGATTGGCTTGCTATGGTTGATTATTTAACAGATCCTCGAAAATAAGAACGTTTTTATTATTTTAAAAT